CTGAAGGAGGAGCGGTGTGTCGCTGTGGGTCGTCTTCCCCTCCCCCAACATTAACGAGCCCCATTCCACGGCAGCCTCACCTATTTCTCCCCAGACGCCCCTCCGGGTGGGGGGACGCGGGGCCGGTCCCTGAAAAATTGCAGGGACGGAGGGAAACCCAGCCGAGCTCGCGCGGGGCACCTGGTGCAGGACCCCACAGTGACCCCCTCGCCTCTCCTTGGTGCCCTGCAGCTGTGCAGCACGAGCGGGGCCCCCGGACGTCGACGATACGGAAGCAGGTGGCTCTCTACTTCCGCGGGCACAAGGAGGAGAGCAGCGGCACCCCACACTTCCCCGCCGCTGCCCTGCCAGCGCCCGCCTTCTTCACCGCCGTCTCCCAGCTGGAGCCCCATGGCCTGGAGCTGGCCACCGTCACCGGCACCCCTGAGAGGCAGGCTCTGGTGGGCCTGGCACAGCCCACCCCGAAGGTCAGCTACTGCCCCGGCCCCCCATGGGCCCGCAGACCCCCCTGCTGGGGTGCCTGCAACCCACCAGCTCTTCCCTGCCTCTGGGGCAGACGTGGCAAAGAGCAGGGCCTGAGGCCTTGCGGGTTGTGGTGGGGACTCTTTTGTTATGTCCTAAAAACCCCTGAGGATACACGGTGCAAGGAGGAAGAGGCCCTCTGCAGAAGGGTTATGTAGAAGGACCGACTCATAACCTGCTCCCTACAAAACCTGTCTCTCCTATATCTTTACATCCTCACAGTTGCAGAAGTGCTCCTCCTGCCTGGAGCCCATCCACAAGTCCATGTTAAACCTTCTTTCATGAGGACGAGCTGCAATCACTGAGTTTTCTTCAGCAAAATGCCCACCTCCATAGTGGTGTAGTCCAGAAAGTACTACCTGTACTGACCAAAGCCTGCAGCTTGTCCGCACAGACACATGTCCAAGCTGGCTCTGCACTTCTTGGGTGTGACATTTCCTATGCAGCCTGGTGGAAGTACTGCTGTGGCCTCAGCTGCACAGGAATTAGCCAGAAGGTGGTGTTTTTCATTAACCCATTTGCAATGGCATTTTGCATATTTACAACACCTAGAAAGTGAAAGAAGAGACAACTTAAATAGTTCTCCATTTCCAGAGTTGGTAGCTTGGGAGAATCCATCATGAACATGATCACAACATAGAGTTCAATATTATAATTTTGGAAAATACTGAATCAGAAATTATTTAGCAAGAAATCATAGCACATGCTTGAAAACGTAACTCCGTTCCAACACTACACACCCTTTAGGTAGTTGTACTTACCTCTACGCACCTGCTTGCAGAGCCTGTTGCAGTCAGGGAGCCAGATGAAGGTTAAGGCTAAAGGAGTACTTAGCTGAGCAAGGCTGTAGCGCTGTATCAGCTTCTGAAGCACAGGTTACAAAGCACAAATACTTAATCAAATTTGTGTTCTTCTAACTCTGCTAGCCAAGGTGTGCTGTTGTGTTACAAGGTAAACGATGACACTGTGTTTTGGTAATTTTTTTCCCCTTGTATAATTTCCTTCTCCGTCCAACCTCCTCCGGAGAACTGTTTCTGTAGTACAGTTCATCCACATGGATGAGCAGCAGAGAGCAGTTTGGAGTGGGCCCACTGAAAGCAATGCCCTCTGCTTGCAGAATAAGAGAGTGCATGCTCTGTATTGGGGATGAGCATGATGCACTGAATGGCAGCTGTAGGGGAGAGGAAGACCGGGCTGCCTTGGTGACATTGTATGAAGTTGCTTTATTTTCTTTTGGACATTAGTACCCACATGAAGTCAATGGTACCCCTATGTATCTCTATGAAGTGGCCACCGAATCCGTCTGCGAGTCAGCAGCCAGACTTCTGTTCATGAGCATCAAGTGGGCCAAGAGTGTCCCAGCCTTCTCCACCTTGTCCTTACAAGACCAGGTAAGGCACCTGCAGTGGGAGTGGCATTGGCCTGGCCTGCCTGTTAGAGAAGGCTCAGAGCTCAGATTGTGTTCTGAATCTTCAGCCGTAGACCTTCAATTTCATAATGGACCTCAGCAGTTCTAAAGTTCAGGGCAGAGTTTTGGTCTGTCCCTAAAAACCAGACAGTGATTTAGAAACTGCTTTCTTCCAATTGTTATTGCATGAAGCAAGTGATAATTAAGCCAGAAAAAGACTAATATAAAGCAAATACTATGGGAGGACAAGTTCTAGAGGAAAAGTCACCAGACTGCAGACCAAGCTCAGTATGCCAGAACTGCTGCTCTACTTGTGGGTCAACTTTCCCCTCCATAAAATGGGGAATAGCATCTTACTTTGCTATTTTGGGATGAGAGGCGCTTAGTTAAGCATATGGCCCAGGATATGAGTGATTTCTGAAGACCATTCCTCCCTCCCCTTCCCTC